TGCACATTCACATTTAGTCTAGAACTACAGTAACATCATGTTCACACAGCGCACACAACTCCTCTGCACTTCCGATTTCTCCCAATATGGGGACAGGAGACTTGTCAGTCAATAAATGGGAAATCAAAGTAATGCATTACTTTACTAGTTACTTGAAAGAAGTAATCTGATTACGTAACTTAAGTTACTTGTAATGCGTTACCCCCAACACTGTGTATAAATCTCAATTTCAACAAATTGATCTTTATGACTGGTTTTGTGGTCCATTTTTTGAGTGAAGCAATTTCTGAGTGAGGACTGTTTCAAAGTAAATCCTACACCTTTTTTTAGTGTACAAAACGAAAAAGGCAAACCAACTACACAAGTCTGTATAAAGACTCACCACTTTCTGTCATCTTTCTCGTGTCCCCCGTGTTCTCGGGCTCGGAGCCGGTGTCGCACGTGCTCTGATCGAGGCGCGCCTCCGCGTACGTACAGCAGTACCTGAGCGCGCACGTACCGCAGCAGTAGCGCGCGTCCTCTCCGTCAAAGCGCTCCGGACACTGGAATCCCCGGTGCCAAGAGTTGAAGGAGTCCGTCCAACCGTGACAATATTCCCCCGATAACGCAAAAGACACCGGGAGAACGACTGATACTAATAGAAAGAGCGCACATGTTACAGATGAAGTCATGGTTGCGTCTGTTTAAATCCTTTGCGCGGCAGAACGCGGTTTAAATGTGAAGTTGCTTCGAAGACCCAGCAAGCCAGTCGCATCTGATCCGGAGTTACTGTGTGCAGGCGTCATTTATGTGTTTGCTGGACCCACATCCCCCTCCAAACACACACACACATTAGCAGCCCCTCCTCCCATCAGCCCCTCGTTATCGCTCATCTGCATTTAAAGTTAGGCAAGGTTTAGTGATTGGCAGGGTTGTTTATTTGTATGTTTGCGCTGCTAATTACTGTATACAAGATATGACAAGCGGTGATGAACTCACTCTAAATGACATGAGCTCCCTGGGTCACAAATCAAAACTTTAACCAGACCAAATCTCTGTCATTTTTTAAAGTGAGAGTAAGGCTGATGATACACGGGGCACCATTTTGAGCAATTTTGCCGGGCAACTTTTTTTGAGCAGTGTTGCTTGGGCACTTTCCCACTGATAATTTCTATCTGGATACTTTAGATCGGTCATGGGCCCTGTGCCTCACCTGGTTGCCTGTTGCCCAGTAACATTGCTCAAAAAGTTGCCCCATGTATCATCAGCCTAACTGAGGACTTCACAACAAAATATTTGAATGCCATCAGTCTACATTTTTAAATAAAGCAAACAAACAACAACTTTAGACAATCCTAAATATTCATAATGATATCAGATAAATAACTCAGATATACAAATAGCATGCCTATTCACGTCTGGAGATGGATGGAGCCTTTAGTATGTGAGTGTATGTGGGGTTAAAGGTTACAGACTGTGCTTGTCTGTCTCTGTTTACTTTATCTGAGACAGGGAGGTCAATTCACTATCAATGCACATCTAAACACACACACTCATTAAACTCATTATGCTGTGGTTCTATTGTCTTGCATCAGAATCCTGATTCAGAGACACCCAAGAAGTGAAGAAACAGTACCAGAATTGCTTACTGTATGCAAGTATATATAAAATTGCATGAAACTCAAACATCGAAGTGTATTATTTTTTAACTGCAACATTATGCAGCATTATTACCATGACATAGGCGGAATAGGAAATAATAATAAATAAATCTTTCTCGAATTTGGATGATGTTATGGTTTTGACAGCCATAAAACAAAATGTGTTTATTCTTACTGTAAGTGAACTTTAATTTAATGTAGTCTGGGTCATATTTATTCATTTTGCTTCTCTTATGTTTATTGCATTTTATTTTTTCCATTTATTTCAATGTTTTTTATCTGCTGTCCACAACCTATGTTTATACCTTCACCACTCATGTGAAAACATTCTCCAAAAAGACAATATTTCCACTATAGAGGAACATATTTAATATTTTTAGTGCTGTAATCAAATGTATGTATTCAAATACATGCAGGTTATTCCCTGTAACATCGATCATATGCCCTACTGCGTTCATTAAAACAGATTCTACCTCCATTCAGATTTTACATCTTTGACTGTATCCCAAAAACAACACACATCGTCACTCACATCTCTGTTGCAGCTGGGCAGACCTGATTGTGTCAAGCTATTAACAGAGATTAGTCCTCACACAAAAGACAGTAAATTGCCATTGTCTGAGAACTAACACATTAGCATCAGGTCAACAAAGCCTGTCTCCTGTGGGTGTGACAGGCTCGGCTTATTGAATATGACTGAGTCATTAACTTTAACTAGGTGCTTAAGAATTGCATACATCTCAGAGACTGAGACCAGGAGTAACGCATGTGCATGTGTGCAAGCTCCAGATGGCAAAACAAAATAACTGGTAATGTGACACCATTTGGTGGTAGGATTACAGAAACTGGAAAGGGAGACAATAGAAACAAGAGAAAAAGAGACAGTTGGAAGAAGAGAAAGTGAGAGGAACCGAAAGAGAGACTGAGAGTGGAATAAACAGGAAATTGGAACTAGTTTTTCAGGTTGTATTAAATATATTTCCTTCAAGTAAAATTTGGTGCTTAAGAAACATTTCTGAAAACAGCTCATATTTTCAAGTAATGGCTGCTGAAAATTCAGCTTCGCCATCAAAGAAATACAATTACATTTTTGATCAAATAAATATACCTTTATGAGCATAAGATTCTAAGTAACTAATATTCTGTATGCTTGTTTTTTTTCTAAACGTATTTATGATATTTTTCCATTACTATACTAGTACAGGTACTTTTGTACCTTCTAGTCAAAATCAGACAAACATATCTGTTTCTAGCTGAACCCTGTTGACATGCCCAAACCTGCTCATGCTCACATTGAGAGTGCAGGAATGAGATACATGAAATGATAGCGCTCAGATGGAGCTGAGTTCAGTGTTAGACAGCATTCAGATCTGTGTGTAAAGATCCATCTGCAGATTTGAGCCTTATCCCAAAGGGCGTGTTGTTTATCTGATTCTTTTCTCTGAGTTGAGATTCCTAAAAACACATTAGCTTCTCCAGCATCTGATGCTTCAAAAACAAACTCCTGGGTTGCATCCAATATAGCATACTTAGGTACTTATTTTAAATAAGTACTTACTTCACAACCTTTAATTTTTTTGTATGCATAGATATTCAGATGCGGTAACAACTGTATTTCTTGAGTAAACTCTGCCTTGATTCGAATAAAACTCACCTTTGCTCTTAATTGCAGTTAACAATTGTTGTCATCTCAGATTCTATAGTATGTGTATTTTGTGCTTTTGTGTTTACGGGACATTGGCAGGTATTCGAGAGGGAATTTGGCTTAAGCCGAGTGAGCTGTATGTTAATGTTCTTCATTAGTGAGCTGTTATCAGATAACTGAGCCTAAGGGTCGGGAGGTCGTTATGGTGACAATGGGTCAAGCGATGGGGGTCCTCCTCAGCAATTAGGCAAAACTGGTTGGGCCACCCTACAGGAGCAACCCCCCTGTGCTGCATGTGTCTGGGTGTAGGTAAGGCCTAATGAGGTTTCCAGATACGTATGTTTAGGCTTGTCTAGATCAGGGATTTTTTATCTTTTAGATGCCACAGACCCCCAAATATGATTATCCTCATGCGATGCACCCCATCCTAAAATTTAAAGGGGTCATATGATGTTGCTAAAAAGAACATTATTTTGTGTATTTGGTGTAATGAAATGTGTTTATGCGGTTTAAGGTTCAAAAAACACATTATTTTCCACATACTGTACATTATTGTTTCTCCTCTATGCCCCGCCTTTCTGAAATGCGTCGATTTTTACAAAGCTCATCGGTCTGAAAAGCGAGGTGTGCTCTGATTGGCCAGCTATCCAGTGCATTGTGATTGGCCGAATGCCTCAAGTGTGTGATGGAAATGTTACGCCCCTTACCATATTGTGATGCCTGCGGAAACCACATGTGACGACCCCGGGCTGGACTCCGCTTCGTCCACGGTGAAAGCCAATCCGGCGATCCACAGCACAAAGTTGTAGTATTTGTCCTCTTTTAGAAGACCAAACAAAGTAGTTTCGCTTTCACAACGAAACACACATAGCGTCTTCACGACATGCCGGCGGCGGCAACAACAATAATACAGAGAGAATAAAAGTTACGCCTTATTTCTTTGCGTGAATATTTGGGCGGCGTTATGCAAATCTTCCCACATAATGATGTAGATATGGGGGGGTGTGTTAGAACGAGCCGTTTTAGGTAGGTGTGGCTGACTCTGAACTTTTATAAAGAATATCTCTTTGGATTTGAGACTTTAGTCTTTGCAACTTTACAGATCTTCTTTATGCACCAAGAGCTTGTAACACTCCAAAGAAAAAGGAAAACTTGAAATCGCATCATATGACTCCTTTAATTTATTATTTTAATAAAAAATAATATTAAAAATGTGTGTAAAATATTATTTGGAACATATTTAGTTTCTATTATGTTATATCATTGTGTTTTTTTCTACTCACTTACTGTACTTTTAGATTTTTTATTGAATAATATTTTTTATTTTAATAATTTTATTTATTTATTTAAATGTATTTATTTCAATCAAATGTATTATTTATTTATTTTAACCTAACTTATTTTAATCAAATTGCATTATTTATTTTTATCTTTTTTTTTTTAAATTTGCTTTAATTTCTGGCTTTATGCACATGCTAGTTATTTCTTAAATCTCGGGGAGATTAGGTACATTTTTAGACTGATTTGTACCTTTAACATTGCTAAATACTAAATAACATACTAAAATAATTGGCATTATTTATTTTAAATTGAATTTAAAATGTTTTGTTGACAGACGGACTGCAGTGGTTTGAATTATTACAGCATCCTTCAGGAATGAACTGCTGAAACCCCGTACAACAAGTAGGCGACTGAAAACACGTCGCGCTTCGAGTTATCGCGATATTTGCTCCCGTCAGCTGACAAACATGATTGTAGTCCTCAGGTCAGGGTGGAACGCAGCAACATAATACGAGTTCCTGAAACAAACATGATAACCGCTAAACAGCGAAAGTTTATTTTTTGGATGATAAACCACTGAAAATATGGAACACATTATAACGCCAAAGGTAAGTCTGAATCAACAGGTGTGCTCGTGTAAAGTTGGCAGATCTCGTGTTTTTATGTCAGATTCAGTAACGTTACTCTAAACTCTCGAAAGGAAGCGTTTAAATGGGGTTTGTTTACACGATTCCGAGTTGTTAGGTTTTACTTAATCTGCTGTTAAATCCATTCAATTCTTTTTAATGTTGGGTACTAAATGTAACATGTAGCCTAACATGTGAATGAACTTGAAGGAGTTTTCAGACTTCACTTCATTACTGTATGTAAAGGAGTATTTCATCCCAAATTCAGATGTAACTTTGCTCAGGTGAACCTGCAGGCGAAAGGGAGGGAAAATCATATACAAGTCTTTTTAGATGCCACATGCAAGGGATCCCATCCTAAAATATTGAAGGTATCTATATAGTTTCTTGTATAAAGACCCCATTTATACAGTGAAAAACATAATATTGTAAATATATCTAAAATAGAATTTGGAAAATATATATTTTCTATAAAGTTACATTATTATGTTGCTTTTTACTCATTTTAGTACTGTACTGTTATAGTACTGTATTGATTGACTTATTTTATTGGCTTTAATTTACTATTTCTTTCCTTGAACATCATTTTTATTTATGTATTTTTTAATCTTTCTTTTTTAAATTATTTATAGAATGTAACTTTTTTTTTTTCGAAAAGTTTGAAAATTTGAAAAGCCCTGGCCTAAAGTATGACAAGGGCTGTAACACATTATATTCTCAGTCCTGGTCATGCAGTATCCCATCATCTTATTTAACACACTTGATTAACATCATCTTATTAGAAGAGCCTCCCAAGACTTTACACAGAGAGGAACCTTCAAAATGCGCAGTTCTGCATGGGCACTTTTGTTACATAATATTATATGGTCATATGATCGTCATAAAAAGTATAAAAGGATGAATGCTGCAGTGTTCGGCCTTTCTGGATGTTTTTGGGGGGACATGGAGGGGTCAGCTCAAAGGATGTTGAATCAGCAATACTACAGGAAGTCTCTATATTAGCAGCTGACACCTCTGCTCAGATCTGCTCTGCCTGTTCATAGAGAATGATGGGTTTGAATCCAAAAAGAACCTACTGTGGCTTACCTTGAGTTTCTTGTCTTACTGAAATACATTAACTTGTTCACTTTATACAGACATTAAAGAATACTAACTTGCATTTGCTGTGCTAAAGCCCTGAAGGGATCGTTCTAATCATCATTTACTGAAAAGATTAGTTCTCATGTAGTTTATCAAGTATAAACGAGCAGGATACATTAGACTTTGACTCGAGAGAAAATGTTACTTAGTGCTGAAGTGGCATCTTGTGTTATAATAATGTTGTTTCATTGCTTGTTACTAAGTAACCAAAATGACAAGCGATGGAGGAACAGGATGTGCTGACAGTAGTCTTAAGAGGTTCTGTAGGATTTCCTCTCCATTGTGTTAAACACGGGCTGGATGATGGGTTCTGATGGGTTCACAACTTGATTGTGTCATTAACCCTCGCGGTCGCTGGCTGGTGCTTTGTTTATTATTTGCAGATAGTTGAGTCAATAATTCTGCACTAATGCTTTTTTTTTTTCCAGGTGGAGTATGTGAAACTACTGAACACGTATCCTGAAAAGAAGTCAGCTCTGGGCACTCTCTACTTGACCGCTACTCACCTTATCTATGTGGAACAAACTAATAACAACGCACGCACAGAAACATGGGTAATGTAGGCCAGTGGGAACAGAATATGTAATAGTCTTCCACTTATCTGTTGTAGGATTGGTTACACTTTATTTTAAGGTGTCCTTGTTACAGTGTAATTATACATTTAAGTACGGAGTAATATTAATTAACTACTTACTATGGTTAGGATTAGGGATACTTGCATGTAATTATGCATCATTTATTGTTATTGCAATAGTAAGTGCATGTAACGTGTAACAATAAAGTGTTACCGTAGGATCTTTTAGAAACACAGATGTCTGATAACAGTGGATGTATCAATCGCATGTGTTTGAAGGTGCTGCATCATCACATCCTGTCGGTAGAGAAGCTTCCATTAACTGCATCCGGTTGTCCGCTCCTGATCCGCTGTAAAACCTTCCAGCTGCTTCATCTGCTGTTCCAAAGAGAGAGAGATTGTCAGGATGTCTTTCAGTCACTTCTGCGCCTGTCTCAACCAGGTGCACACCACACACACACACACATACATACACACGTTTGTTTCACTAACTTACTTTAGAGAGGACATTGCATAGACTTCCTTTGATTTTATATCAGGTTAATGATTTTTTTTTCTATCACCTAACCCAACCACTACCCTTAAACTTACCCATCACAGAAACATGTGCAGAACACTAGATTTAATTAAAAACATCCTTTGGCTGATTTATAAGCCTTTTAACTAGTTAGGACCAGTCAAATGTCCTCACAAGTATAGTCAAAACAATATTTTAATTTAATGTTTAGTTTTAGTAATTTGTGCTCTTCAACTTAAACATTTTATTTCAGTTAGTTGCCAAGGGCATATGTATAATTTTTATTAAGTTTTTAAGTTTACGCTTTTGTCTAATATTTATATTTTATTTAATTTCAACTTTATTCCAATTAGGTCAAATTATTTGTTATTGTTTTAGTTAACATTAACAACATTGGTATAAGTAATGAACATGGTGACAGTACATGACTGGCCCAATTAGACAAACAACACTTTTTTTTTTAAATTTAGTGTCCAGTCCAGTAATCTTCCAGTTATGTTTATTTCATACTGAAAAATGTAGTAATATTTTGCAGACTGACCCAACTGCACACATGTTTGCTCTCAGGTTCTAACTGTGCTTTTGTGTCATTTCAGTCAAAGAAGAGGCATTTAAGTACGGAGTAATATTAATTAACTACTTACTATGGTTAGGATTAGGGATACTTGCATGTAATTATGCATCATTTATTGTTATTGCAATAGTAAGTGCATGTAACGTGTAACAATAAAGTGTTACCGTAGGATCTTTTAGAAACACAGATGTCTGATAACAGTGGATGTATCAATCGCATGTGTTTGAAGGTGCTGCATCATCACATCCTGTCGGTAGAGAAGCTTCCATTAACTGCATCCGGTTGTCCGCTCCTGATCCGCTGTAAAACCTTCCAGCTGCTTCATCTGCTGTTCCAAAGAGAGAGAGATTGTCAGGATGTCTTTCAGTCACTTCTGCGCCTGTCTCAACCAGGTGCACACCACACACACACACACATACATACACACGTTTGTTTCACTAACTTACTTTAGAGAGGACATTGCATAGACTTCCTTTGATTTTATATCAGGTTAATGATTTTTTTTTCTATCACCTAACCCAACCACTACCCTTAAACTTACCCATCACAGAAACATGTGCAGAACACTAGATTTAATTAAAAACATCCTTTGGCTGATTTATAAGCCTTTTAACTAGTTAGGACCAGTCAAATGTCCTCACAAGTATAGTCAAAACAATATTTTAATTTAATGTTTAGTTTTAGTAATTTGTGCTCTTCAACTTAAACATTTTATTTCAGTTAGTTGCCAAGGGCATATGTATAATTTTTATTAAGTTTTTAAGTTTACGCTTTTGTCTAATATTTATATTTTATTTAATTTCAACTTTATTCCAATTAGGTCAAATTATTTGTTATTGTTTTAGTTAACATTAACAACATTGGTATAAGTAATGAACATGGTGACAGTACATGACTGGCCCAATTAGACAAACAACACTTTTTTTTTTAAATTTAGTGTCCAGTCCAGTAATCTTCCAGTTATGTTTATTTCATACTGAAAAATGTAGTAATATTTTGCAGACTGACCCAACTGCACACATGTTTGCTCTCAGGTTCTAACTGTGCTTTTGTGTCATTTCAGTCAAAGAAGAGGAGCTGTATGCCTTTCTCTATAATCCACACCAAAACGAGGAGGACAGGAGACAGGGTTGGGAATTCATCAGTGTGGCAAACGACTTCAGCAGGATGGGTCTCTCCAATGAATATTGGGAAATCAGCCACCTCAACAAGAACTATGAGGTAACATCTTCCTATTACTCGACAATCTAGTATTCATGCTTCCTGTTTAGGACCATTTCACAATAATCAGCCTAACTCTTTTTGTCTGCTGACCACAATGATTAATATGTTCTAAGTACACACAGTTTCAACCAAACACCCGTATACTACTCTTCAAAAGTTTGGAGTAAAAGATGTTTTTCTTTGAAGAAATTCATACTTTTATTCAGCAAGAATGCATTAAATGAACATTGACAGTGAAGACATTTATAATATAAAAAAAAAAATAAAAATACTGTATTTTAAATAAATGCTGTTCTTCAAACTTCCTATTCATCAAAGAATCCTGAAAAATATAAAGCAGCACAACTGTTTTCAACATTGATAATGATAAAAATTGTTTCTTGGGCGCAAAATGAACATATTAGAATGATAAAATAGATTAAAATGGAAAACTTTAACTTTAGTTATTTTAAATTGTAGCAATACATCACAAACACAGTAAAACAGTAATACTTTGATCAGAAAAATGCAGAACAGCATAAGACAACTTCTTTCAAAAACAAATCTTATCAACTCCAAACTTTTGAACAGTAGTATATGCACCCAAAACTTGATCAGAATATTCTTTTTTTATTTGATAAACAGTTGTAATTAAATTGTTTATAAGTTGTGTTATGTTATAATTATAATTCATATTTTGTTCTGGCTCATGGATCTTTCAATGTCTGTCTTTCACATAGATCTGTAGCACTTATCCATCTATCCTAGGACTCCCTAAAAATGCCAGTGTTGCGGTAGTAACAGGCAGTGCCAAGTTTAGGAGCCGAGGGCGGTTGCCTGTTCTGTCTTACTATCACAAAGACACTAAGGTATACAAGCACATGCACATCAGGAATACACATAATTGCTCTGTTCCACAACCAAGTAAGCACCCTACCTAGACAAAATCCAGACAGGCTGGCTTTTTCAAACAGTAGACATCCTAATTATACTGCCTTCTAAAACGTTTGGCCAAATTCTAAGGTAACATTGCATGTACCCTTCACCGATAACAGAGTCCAAAAATACACGGCAACAAACTGATCACATTCACCAGAGATAGTCAAAATAAAAGCTAATTATAACTACAGTATATACATATTTTATTCAATACTGCAAAGCAATGAATAAAAATAGTCCAATTAAATGATTAATTTAAATCAGATTAACCTAGAGACTATTAATTGCATTTTTACAATTTGGGGGCATATAAATGCACAAGTAGGTTTAAACAGGAATGGTTAAAAAGTTGTGCCACTAACAAGAACATTATCTTTTCTTTGCATCTCGTGTTACTGTCTTGCAGGCTGCGCTCTGTCGCTGCAGTCAGCCTTTGTCGGGTTTGACGTCTCGCTGTGTGGAAGACGAGCAGATGCTTCAGGCCATTAGCCAAGCGAACTCCAACTGCCCTTTTATATATGTAGTGGACACACGGCCTAAGGTGTGACCTTTAACCTTAACCTTTCTATATACATAAGAGGACACATCCAGAATGGGATTTTTAAAATGTTTATCTTTAAACTTTCAACCCCAACTGCTGTGGCATGAATGTAGGAGACACATAAGAGAATGTGTAATCTTTCGCCCTCTGACCCCAACTACTCTTCTGTTTATGTAGTGACTAGTTAACCATTAAATTCTTGTCATAATTAGGTTTTTCTGTACCATCAGAGTGAGGTTATGGAATGAATCTTATTTTTGTACGTATTGCAAATATTAAATATGCTCTTCTGTTTATTGTTGCCCATCTCATGTTTCATCAGTGCAACTGGAGAAACAACATTTCATTCCTTTCCCTATTATTTAGGAGACCATAAACCTGACCCTCTGGAGCTGTGTATATGCATACATTTGTACATGTGTTTGTCTTTGTCAGTTGAACGCAATGGCCAACCGTGCAGCTGGTAAAGGCTATGAGAATGAGGACAACTACTCCAATATCAGGTTCCAGTTCCAAGGAATCGAAAACATCCACATCATGAGAAACAGCCTACAAAAATTGCTGGAGGGTGAGAGAACACTCTTTTTTTTATTTTTTTTTATTAGTACTGGTATATGCAGTAGCTGATTAGGTTTATTTCTGGAAGTTGCTCAGTTGAGTGTTGGCTGTACCTTTTAAATCAGTAGATAAAATGATGGTTGGTTGTACCTTTGCTCTTCCAGTGTGCTCTATGAAGTCTCCTTCCATGAGTGACTATCTGACAGGTCTGGAGAACTCTGGCTGGCTGAGGCACATCAAATCTGTAATGGATGCAGGCGTGTTCCTCGCCAAGGTACTGACCTCCATGCTATAACTGCATAGAGAGACACCAACACGAGTATATCAACAATGATGAGCTCAGTCATTTTGTTTGTGTTCTAGGCTGTCTGTGATGAGAGGGTGAGTGTGTTAGTGCATTGTTCTGATGGTTGGGACAGAACGGCTCAGGTGTGCTCTTTGGCTTGCATACTGCTGGACCCATACTACAGAACTATTAAAGGCCTCATGGTAATGACCCAGTAACCTATAACCTCTACCCTCAACACTGGACTCCTGTGAACTTAGTTCACACTCACATTTATGTCACACTGTTGAGCAGGTCATGGCTTCTCAAATTAAGTCATTAATTATTCCTGTGTAACTTATTATATACCATATATGGGTTTGGGGTTGGTAAAATGTAACACTTTAATATTTAAAAAAATGTTTTGTAATGTAATTTATGTGATGGCAAAAGCTGAATTTTCAGCAGCCATTACAGTCTTCAGAAATCATTCTAACATGCTGATTTGGTGCTTAAGAACATGAATAGAAAGTTTAAACAAACAGCATTTATTTGATATAGAAAGTTTTTGCAACAATATAAAAGTCATCATCACTGTCCTTGCATTAAATACCTGAAAGTATTAATTAATTAATTTTTTAAATCTTACTGACCCCAAAAACCCAGACTGAAATATGGCAAAATAATAGAATTTAAGGTCTTGACTGTGTTGAATTTGTTTATCGTATACAAGAAAGCAGGCTGTTGGGGAAATTCATCATTTGACATTTGTTTTGTTTTATACAGGTTTTAATAGAAAAGGAGTGGATCTCTTTTGGTCATAAATTCAGTCACAGGTAAAAACTTTCACTGTTGTTGCATGTATTAATAAATACCCCTCAAAACATTATCAGAGCTTTCGATAACTGCAAATATGTAAATAAGATATATTTTTAATAATAATAATAGAATTTTAAGAGATAATTAATAACAATAATTATTAAGAATTGCAAATATTAAAATGGTAAAACATTACAGTTACCTTTTATATATGCTATAAAAATGCTCACTTTATTAATAGTGAGCCATTACGGTCAATACCAAGTCAATTTTTTGTGACATCACATGTTCATTTGTATATATGTTTGTGCTGTAGGTGTGGCCATCTGGACACCGACCCCAAAGAAGTGTCTCCGGTCTTCACCCAGTTCCTGGAGTGTGTGTGGCAGCTGTCTGAACAATTCCCCTGTGTGTTTGAGTTCAACGAACGTTACCTTATAGAAATACACAATCAAGTCTATGCCTGCCAGTATGGAAACTTCATCGGCAACTGTCAGAAAGAGAGGCTGGACATGAGGTGAGGAAAGACTGCACGTACACACACACACAAACATACATGTATGTACAAATAAAAATGATGAAGTCGGCATTGAACGTGTATGCTTCAAAATGAAAAGCAAATATTCTTTATTATTAAAGATGAAAAACATGCAATGACTGAATGATTTTAAAATGCTTTGCTTCACTGTTCTTTGTGGGGTTTTAGGTTGCATGAAAAGACGTTTTCCTTGTGGCCATATCTTCTGAAGAACCAGCATCTGTATCGAAACCCCTTGTACCGGCGTTCATTAGAGAGCACAGTTCTGAGACCCAGCACTTTACCGCTGCACTTCAAGTACGGATACACTCTTAAACATACAGTATGAATAAACCAGCTGTGCCACGGCAGACTAACACTTAAAGATGACACTTAAGAAAATTCTGTTAGTAAGACCAAAGTAATTAGAGTTTTATGGAGAGCAATTTGATTTCACTGAATAGTTTTTGTATTTCTTTATGTTTCCCAGGTTCTGGTGTGGGATGTATAACCACTATGACAGAGGCATGCACCCAAAACAGTCTGTTCTAGACCAGCTGCTCTCCCTCACACAGAAGCAGGTGGAAGGAGAGAGAACCATGACTGAATTACAGCGAGTAAGTGGGTTCGTGGAAGTTTTGTCAGTGTGGAGAGGTATTCGATTGATATGACGCTGTCTCTCTCTTCTCCATTTACAGCAGCTGGCTGTTGCAGATGGAGTTCTCCCCGATCCATCCGGACCAATCAACACACCTGCGGAACAGGACAGTCCAAGCGAGAAGACTCCCACCGCTCCTGTCGTCCAATCAAATGGAAGCTGCGCTCCTTTAATTAATGGAGACGCAGAGGAGGCGGGCCCAGGAGCTGAGAAGTGCAATGAGAAAGAAGGGGCGGATCCAGGAGCCACCGAACACGATCTGACCTCCTCTGAGGACAAACCTGTTTCTGTGGAAACAGAACATTCCAAAGAGGAGGTACATGAATCCTCTTGAGTCTCCATAGTAACAGAACAGACATTTTGACTGAGACCACAAAGAACAAATGTCCAGATTATTGAAAAGATGCATAAAGTACCGTTTCCACAGCTGAAGCTGCAGCACACCAGTTTGTGATTGTTTATATTGCTGTTTATTCGATTTCTCGAGCACTGGGTAGATCCTTGTGCCCTGTTATATCTGTTCTGAGCATTTCTGCAATGTTCTTTATGTTTTTTGTGGACTTCAGTGTATTTGATGGCCTTCAGACCATGAGGATTGAAGCTACATGCTTTAATCGTAGGCACTTAGAATCATCTACTTTGTTGAAATGTCGTTCTGATCAAATGTGGCGTTATTCATTGTACAATAGACTGTTTTTTTAATGTCTTTCTTTTAGTAACACTTGTGTAGTCAGACTCTGATACTGATTTATTCAGACACACAAGCAGCTGATGTGAAATTCATGTTGATAAAGGGAACATATTGTTAAAACATGGATCAAATTGATTATCAGTTTTTTGCACAAAGGGCTTAGTATTATTTTTGTGGTGTTCCTTATTGCAAACGCTGTTCATTTCGCATGAAAAGGAACACTGCTGAAGTGCTGCTGATTGATTGCAATAGGATGCCACATTGTTTGAGCCAAGCTCTAATGCCACACAAATAATTTGATGCGCATAAAAATATTCTAGGAATATTACTTATATTATAAGCCTTTTAAATTGCATATAGTTTTGCAAAGCAATACTGCTTTTAATGATGCCTACTGGATGTTTATTTCCCATGGATGTGGAAAAGTTTTGACAACTTTAGTTCTAATATTCAACCTTTTGAACCCTGGCTGCTATGGAGCTCCAGACAAGTTTTTATTACTATGTGAAACGCAAAACCAATGTTTAAAAATGCTTCCATTATTGAGAAGCATTTGTTTACATTATTATTTTTTGATTAAATGTACAGCAATAGTCAAAAGGGAGTTTTGAAATAATAAATGAGAGGGATACCACTGAAAATGACTGTGGTTACATTACATCTATTGTTTTAAAAACTGAGAAGAGTTTTGCTCTGTAATAATTGCTTCAGCTCATTTTATACACGCTTGTTTTGATCATTGCACTGTTTTGTACTTCTTTTGTACATCATTAAATTTGTTTTAAATAAATATAAATTTTAGTGAACAAATGTGCGTTGTGTTATGCGATTATATTGCATTATGTTTGTGGACAACACTAAACTCGCTCATTACACAAAACAGGTATGACTGGATCCCAGTGGCGCACAGCGCCCCCTCTGGTCGCCCACAGAACAGCTTCTGCGGTTTGGCTTGTTATTAGCTCGGTGAGTGTCCTTGAGGCGAAAACACATTTAAAATATCTACTATATGCTCATGTATATTTATTGTATACCTTAAAATGCGTGTTTGTTTGACAGCAGGTCAGAAGGAGCGAGTCAAACTGCGTTATTTATGTGACAGATAACGTTACTAGAGTTAAACACACCGAGCTCCGATAGATAGCCGGGGAATACATTTCCGCTTGAACGCGACCAGTGTTACTCTCAGCTGAGTTTATTAGCATAAAAGCATTTAAAAGTCTAGTTTTGCTTGTATTTTTGAGGTTTATCTCGTTTGCTATCCGGATAACTGACCGTGTATGCTTGCTAGTAACGTTATCGTTAAAGCTAATACAGATAAAGTCCACCATGACAAAGCATTCCAATAATATAAACGCTGTCAAAGATATTACATTAATATAATCGTAGTTTACTCATTAATAACAATAATATCCCAATATAAGGTTGATTTGTTGTTATAATGCAAAACTGAACTGAAAGTGCAACACAACAATTCACGTCATGAAGAAGTGAGTGCAATTCATCCTGAATACAAGCTAGTGAGCTGCATACCTAGACAGCAATTTTGGGCATGGTCTAGATAGGCAGCTCACTAATTTGCTGTTATTTTCAACTGTCATGCAGAGGCCTTCATCTGTGCATAAACTTTTAATTTTTCTCTGCAGTTCTCATCTATGCTTCAGCTGCGGCCAGTGGAGGAGGATGAAGCAGCCGCTGAGAGTCTGGTGCTGAACCGAGCTGTGGCTAAAAATGACCATTTCCTGCTGGCTGAGCTACTGTCACAAGAATGCTACAGGAAGTGCATTAATCAGCAGAGCGGTTGGGGGATCCCAGGTACACCGTTACGCATGGCTGCGTCCAAAGGTACGTGCGGCACCCTTCCATGGTGTCACATCTGAGTTTGTTGTCCACCACGAGCACAAGATTCAAGATTTTATTTGTCACATACTCCGTTATATATATATGTGACCCTGGACCCCAAAACCAGTCATAAGTAGCACGGGTATGATATTTAGATTTTTTTGCACCCTCGATTTCCAGATTTTCAAATAGTTGTGTCTCCGCCAAATATTGTCCTATCCTAACAAACCATTCATCATGGAAAGCTTATTTATATATATATATATATATATATATAAATAAATCTCAATTTGAAAAAATTGACCCTTATGACTGGTTTTGTGGTCCAGGGTCACATATGAGACATAACCAGCAGTGAAATGTAAGTCAGGTCCGCTCCATAGAATGTGCAAAATTTAGACAAAGTATAAGACAAAGAAAGTAATAAACATGGAGATAAAGATAATAAGACTGTACAAAATAAAATAAAGAGCCTGAAAGTACAGGACATTACACAATAATCTTAGGAGAATATATAATAAATATTTGAATGAAACAGGAATGTGCAAGTGAGGAATATGCTGAGGTATGTACAGAGAAGAATTTGAGGTGAAAGTACAACAGTGCAGGTTGTTACCTAGCAGCAACGAAACCAGAAAGTGCTGTGTGCAGCGACAATGTCAAGTAATGAGTGTGGTGAGTGTATGCTAATGACGTCCTGTAGATGTTAAGAGGCTGAGTTTAGGAGCCTGATGCCGTGAGGGAAGAAGCTTCTCCTAAGTCTCTCAGTTTTGGCCATCAGACTACGGAAGTGCTTTCCAGATGGAAGCAGGGTGAACAGAGAGTTACCAGGGTGATTGGAGTCTTTTGTGGAGATTTTTGTGGCTCTACTTTTACAGCATCTGAGGTAGATGTCCTGCAAAGAGGGGAGAGCAGATCCTGAGATACGCTCAACTAAGCGCACAGCTCTCTGCAGGGGTTTGCAGTCATTTTTAACGCAGCAGTTTTTTCCGCTGTAGGTCACCTGAGGTGTCTGCAGTTGCTCCTGGCCCATGGGGCAGATGTAGACCGCCTTGATGTTAAAGCCCAGACCCCTCTTTTCACCGCTGTGTGCGGGCGTTACTTGAGCTGCGTGATTGCGCTTCTCCGTGCCGGAGCTAATCCGAATGGAAGCCACCTGAACAACAGCTCGCCCGTGCTCACCGCTGCCCGAGAGGGCGACCCCGAGATCCTCCGCCAGCTGCTTCGGCACGGGGTGGAGGTCAACACCAGGCCAAAGGTGACGCTGTGGGCCTCAGGGGTTGCTGTGTGCAGCGGGCCACTTTACCTGTCAGCCATATATGGACACCTGGATTGCTTCAAAATGTTGCTGTTATATGGGGCAGATCCGAACTATAACAGCCCGGAAGAGAAGGTGAACGGCAGAGCCACGCAGCAGAAGACGGTCCTGGAATTGTGTTTGAGACACGGCTGTGGAGTCGAATACATTCAACTGCTCATTGACTTTGGGGCAAACGTCTACCTGCCGACCCTCATTATAGAGAAGAGCACCAAACAGAACGAAGCTGTTGAGCTGTTGCTGAAAGAGCGAGGTGAGAGACGTTTTAGTGGTATTATAGCATTGTTTTTTTTATTGCCATTAGTGTTGTATGGAAACCTGTTTCTACCATGGAATAAAACAATTTAAAAGGTGTTTTTTCCCCTTGCAATTTTGAGACAAAAAGGTAAAAATTTCAAGGTATAATCCCAGAATTGCAAGATATAAACTCACAAAAAAGAATTTCACAATTCTTTGTTTACATCTTGCAATTCTGATTTTTATTTTCTCTGAATTCTGAGTTGTTTTTCTCCTTTTACCTTGCAATTTAGATATTATATCTTACAATTCAGAATTGCAAGAAAAAATGAGAATTGTGAGATATACACTCAGTATTGCAAGGGGGGGAAAAAATCAGAAATGTGAGATAAAAAAAACCCTGCAATTACCTTTTTTATTTTTATTTGTAACATTACGGAAACAAGCTTCCAAAGTGTTGTTAATTAAAACTATTAAATATATATATATTTTTTATTTAAATAAATCTGAAAATAAAATATAAATATACAATGAAAGTTTAAGTTAAATGTAAAATTAGAAGTTTTGCCTTGGCAACTAACCGAAATAAATGCATTTTAAGCTGAAGTACTAAAACTTAAACTTAAATGAAAATAAATTAAAGTTAAATATAATTTTTTTAAAAACAAAAACTAATCAAAATGACAAAAGCACATAATAATGCTCAAACTAAAATTAAATAAAAAATAAAAATAAAAGCTAATTCCAAATGAATGAAAACTATTAGTAAAATAACACTGATTGTCATTGTTAAAGAACTGTTTTATTCTCTCTTTTTCACAGGGTGCCCGAAGACTCTGGCATCTCAGTGTAGATTGGCCATTCGTAAACACCTGATACATGTGAACAAGATTCAGTCTTTGGACTCTCTGGAGATTCCACCCCGGCTCATCAACTATCTCAAACACAAGCCACACAAGAGTGCACTGGTTTACTGACAAAACAGATTACACTCCACTGTGCCTTTACCAAAGGACAGACTCATTCACTCACACATAGACTGGACAGGTAGACCATACAGACATCTAGAGGGAAGGAAAAGGACAGAAGATTTGGACTAATGACGTGGACTCACTCGTATGCAAACTCACAGATGGACCGATACACTGCTAACAACCCTGGTTTACATATATGAAGTGTGTTAAACTTGAACATCCACATAAATGAATTAGCTTTAATCTCTTTCAGATCTGACTGTGTAAGATTACCAGAAGTGTTGCTGTAAATGCTCTAGAACTATGCATTGTCACATAGCCTGTTCTGCCTTTCCAAGATCATCTGGAGGTTTTCATTTCTCATACTAAATTTAGCAATGATTTTTTTTTACTGAATTTTTTGTTTTGTTAATCAGAAACAGCTTGTTGAAGGATGTAAAAATGTTGGCAACTGGCTTATTAATCTTAATATGCTGTGTAAAATCCATTGTGATGTACTTGTGTCTATGAATCCCTCGTTTAGAGCAGATGGACTCTTCCAACAGATGTTGTGTAACCTCCATTGTGCAGATAACATGTAATGGATATCATTTGGTTCCTGTGAGGTTAAAGACTTCATCAGTTTTATAGCAGAGGTATTGAAGTATCTTGCCTGAGGATTACAAAGTATATCAGTCTATGCTAAATTGGATGTACAGTATATATGCAGGTGTATTCTGAAAACACAATTCTGCAATGAATAACATCTGGCTTGTTAGTTTGTTCATAAAATTGAACAGCTGAACATCATAATGTTTATCCGTGTTGTCTTCTCTGTATTTACATTTATGGGGTATAGTTTGAGGTGCCAGTTTCCATATAGAGATTTATTTCCACTTCATAAAAAATGATTATTGCACTGATGTGGAAAACTCAAAAGTAACATTTAGCTGAAAAGAGCTGAGATTCACACAAGACCTTACCAAATACAGACTAGACCAGTGTCATTTTAGCACTATATATGCTGTTATAGTATTTATGAATATTTAGCTTAGCTAAATATTAGCTTTTATTTTGAGATTTTCAGTTTTAATTTATTTTTTATTTAACTTTTAGTCGTTTTGTTGTGTACTTTTGTCATTATTTTTTGGAAAAAAATATTTATATTTTCATTGTTATTTCTGTTTTGGTAATTTATTTCAGACTTTTTCATGTAATTTAAATTAACAAAATATGTTTCATATATTTAGTTTTAATATGTTTAACACTTTTTGATGACAAGGACCCCTCAAGCCTTTCTAAAATAAAAAGGCTGCAAAATTAAATAATTGTACTTTTCACAATAAATATTTTTATTTTGGTGGTCAACCTTAAAATTCAACACATTAAATTTGACATCCCCTGGCTAAAATCGTAATTTTTTCTTTCTCACAAATTTTATTTAAATTAACAAAATATGTTTCATAGTTTTAGTTTTAACACTTTTTGATGACAAGGACCCCTCAAGCCTTTCTAAAATAAAAAGGCTGCAAAATTAAATAATTGCCTTTTTGTCTTTGTATTTTTCACAATAAATATTTTTATTTTGGTGGTCAACCTTAAAATTCAACACATTAAATTTGACATCCCCTGGCTAAAATCGTAATTTTTTCTTTCTCACAAATTTTCTGTGGACCCCTGGTGCTTTGGCCAGGTTTGTATCTGCTGCAGTAAAACTCATATTTGGTTTACACCTCGTGTACATCTCCAACAGAGCATTTATTGTGTTAATTGCGTATAGTATTTTATTTTATTGCAGGGTTATATAACCTATTGCTATTATGACTTTTATTATCGTTACAATTGACCTCTTGTTTTTTTTCCTGTCACTGCTTTTTATAGTGCATGCAAAGACAGTACGTTGAAGTAGACCATGTATACCATGGTACTACACTTCCCAAAATGCACATAGCACGGAGACGCCGCCAGCCGCTTCAGCGCTCAATGAACAAAGTGAATCACAGCCGCGAGCTCCGGCAGCGCTGCGCGAGGACAGAGCACATCACTGCACGCGCGTGCGGAAAAGATGGAAAAATAAGGCGAGTATCGTTAATGTTTCTATCTGTGTACATTATTCGCTATTTGACTGTTAACGTACGTGAGTGTACGCGCATAAACAGCTGTTTGCGTATGCAAGTTATGTGTATATCAGTGAAGCGGACGCAGCTGGTTAGCGTCTGGGCTAGCGCGCGTTCATTCGCAGTGATGGTGTCCAGCTGGGGACACTGCGTGTACGTTAGTCTTTTGATAGAAGTTCTATTCGATGCCAGTAACATTTTCAGTGCAGTAATTGTGTAACTGGTCCATGGGATGTAGTCATTTGGACTGCACGCTATCTGTACGTGTTTCTCCTTTGTTTATGATGCACAATACAGTGAGTGTTCAGGCCCGTTGGCTTCAGTCAGCTTTTGTTTTGATTGTAGGTTTAATCCAGCGGAACTTCACTCACGTTATGTGTTGCATTGAAGGACTCATTCAGGTTGTAACACTGTACTGTCATCGATTTTGTTTTTGTATTGTTGTAGGTTAGCCTTTTCTGCCTCTGTGGTTAAGAAAACAAATTTTGTTCGGATTATTCACACCTAAATGAGCAAATGTAATTTACTCAGTAGTACATAGCCCAGTGATAAACTGCATGGTAGAACATTTTATTATTGGTGATAGCTGTAACCAGTGGGAATACAACAATGCAAATTCTCAATAAAACATGATAAAGTAACAGGTAAGTATCATATGGTATTGTTTTACAAATATAATTGTGGGTAAAACTTAAAAAAATAAAACATGCATTTATTATTGGTTTGTTTCATTTAATGGAAAAACCTTTATAAACATTTTATAATGGTGAATCGTTTGGGCTTTGTGTTTTCTCATAATTGTGACCATTTTTACTTGTGAAACATGGTCTAAATCAGTGGTTCCCAACCCTGGTCTTGGAGGCACCCCAACACTGAACATTTTGCATGTCTCCTTTCTCTGACACACCAATTTCAGGTCTTGGAGTCTCTACTAATGAGCTGATGACCTGAATCAGGTGTGTTTGATTAAGGAGACATGCAAAACGTGCAGTGTTGGGGTGCCTCCAGGACCAGGGTTGGGAACCACTGGTCTAAATGAGCCCAATGAATGATATTAATTTATTCATAATAGACCAGGTGTGTCCAAACCTGCTCTTATAGGGCCACTATCCTGCAGAGTTTAGCGCCAACCCCAATTAAACACACCTGAACCAGCAAATCAAGGTCTTAATAGTCATACTAGAAACTTCCAGGCAAGTGTGTTGAGCCAAGTTGGAGCTAAACTCTGTAGGACAGTGGCCCTCTGGGACTGAGTTTGGACTCCCCTGTAATAGACCCTTTAAATATTTATATTTACCAAATATAGTAGTTAATTTTGAATTTTATCTGATATTACTTGCTTCTTTTTATGGAGCTTTGCCACAGACATAATATTTCACAGGGACAAACTCTGATTAAACCAGTTTGACTGTTTACTCCAATATAAAAATGTCTGCCTCAAGCTAACAGAGTCTACACTTTCATTTTGTAGTTGACAGTACTAAAACAGACCAACAACTCTGTTTAGACCTGTAAAACTAATTTTGGTCACAAATGTACCTGGGTTAAATGAGTTGGGACATTCTAATATGCTTTATGCAGTAAACAGTGATACTGAAAGACCAAATTTCAGTGTGTATACCTGAGTAAGTACAGGACAAACTGAGATTTAGCCTAGTTGGTGGCAGGATTATATATTGTGTTATATTATAGCCCTAAAAAGTAATTAATTCTTTAAAGGGATAGTTCACCCTTATGTTGAACAAAATAAGATATTTTGAAGAATTTTGAAGAACCAAACAGTTGTTGGTCCCCATTGACTTCCATAGTAAGGAAAGAAATACTATAGAAGTCAATGGAGACCATCAACTGTTTGATTACGAGCATTCTTCAAAATATCTTCTTTTGTGTTCAACATAAGAAACGTATACATGTTTGGAATGACATGAGAGTGAGTAAATGATGACATTTTCATTTTTGGGTGAACTATTCCTTTAAAGCTTAAACCTTTTTTGCAAGGTCATATTTGGCATTTGTGCAAACGGGCATCATAGATGTACAGATACAACTTTCAGTGTTTGAATAAATTGTTATTGTAAATGTTTATTAATAACTATGTGCCTTAGTTTTGTTTTTTCTTATTTTGACTCTTCCTAACGATGCGTCTTAATTTCTGTTTCTTTCACAGGTATAAGATGTCCGATAAACACAGTCCCCATACCTTCCAGCCTGCCTCTCAGGGTGGAGTATTTACTACAGACATGCTCCATTAGCCACAGTCATCTGTGTCAGTATGGAGACCGCCACAGGAAGTGAGGTTGTAGGTGCAGAAGGAGGTCCACAGTCAGACTCTGTTTCCCATGACAGCCCTCAACCTCAGTCACCGCCTTCCGTGAAAATACGGAAGACGGCTTTCAGGTTTTTTGGTGGTCGGAAGAGCATCTGTGTTCTGCCCAGCTTTTTCGGTGGCCGTGGCAGAAGTCAAAGAAAGGGGTCATCAAAAACAGGTGTTACGAAGAGCCAAACATACGATGGGGTGAGCAGAGCATGCTGGGAAGATTTGGGCAGAGGTAGCAGTGAAGCGGCCTCAGGGGACTTTGAGTTTTGTGCCTCCAGTGACCCTCAGAAATCACAGGAGGATCACGGGAAGTCTCAGTCTCTACCACGACAGCGCAGAGGCCTTCGGGGGCTTTTCAGCAGCATTCGGAGATACAGGAAAAACAAAAATGTTGAACTAGAAAAGCGCGAGACACATGAAATGTCTTCAAGCTTTCATGCCGAAACAGTGCCTGGTGCCCTGTCGAGCGTCAGTGACCATAGCGAAGAGTTGGTGCCAGATGTGCCTAATCAATCCACAGGCAGTGAATGCAAACTGCCATTGGCTGCCACTGAATGTACGAAAGATGTAACGCTAGTGCCTGAGAAAAGGAGGAGCAGAGTGGAGGTGGATAAGAAGAAGAGAGCAAAAGAAGAGGATAAAAAGGGGGAGGAGATAAAAAATGCGAGACGGGAAGGACTGACGACATATCATCAACTCTTGTGTGCCGAGTCAGAACTGGACCGTTTGGCTGAGCAGAATGTGGACGTTCCCGACGGGGAGCCTTCTGCTGTATCCTGCTCCTCTGAAAACTTAATCTTCGGTGACGTTTCGTCATTGAAAAGCTTTGATTCACTGACAGGTTGCGGAGACATCATCGCAGACCAGGATGATGTCGGTGTCGCCGAGAGCTCTGTGTCTGCTGAGAGAGGCAGCCGAAATGCAGGAAAACGGAGCTCGTGTTTTGTCACGTATCAAGGTGGAGGGGAAGAGATGGCAACTCCCGATGAGATAGACGCGGATTACTTGCAGAGCTTATGGGAATCTGAAACTAGTAATGAAGTCTGCTATGTCCCCTCAGACATGGGCTCGGCTAGCCCTTCGCTTACTCCTGATCAGCAAATCAGCTCCATCCGTGCCACCTCCAACAGCAGCCCACTGGGAATCACAGAAACGGCCCTCACTCCTGTTGACCTCTTGAGCCCACAGAGCGATCGGCAGGAGTCGGTTCCCAACAGCGATGAGGGATACTATGACTCCACCACGCCAGGTATGGAGGAGGAGAGTAGAGAGCGTCCACACCAGGAAAGGCTTCCACGGGACAGCTACAGTGGTGATGCCCTTTATGAACTTTTTGAACCTGACGATCGTCTACTCAGCCCTGCTCTTCCTCCCAAGGATGCCCATTCATTTGTTGGTGCAGATAAGAGTCCAACAAACCCTCTGTACACCCTGGCATCCCCTGCCCTAGAGACAGGAACAATGGAGACGGAGGAGGAGCGTCTGAGCAAGATCCAGCATGCCCTTCTGTGCTGCGAGCTCCAGAATCTCAGAAGTCCATCCAAAGATCAGCTTCTGTTCCACACAGACTGCTTCTACGATGATTCAAGCCTTTCCGCAGGCAACGGTAAGATGGTTTTGGAAGAAGCCATGAATCAGTGCTATCCCCAATCACCACCGAGATCCCAAGCTGTAAAAGAGCCAGTCCCTCTCAGCAGGGGTCAGATCCAGGGGACTCCATTGTTTGCCGATTCAGGGTTTAGTCCACATGTCGCTGAGACAACCAGACGGCAGCCTCAATCTGAGGATCAGAGCCCATTACTACCCACCAGAGGCTGCAGTCAATCTCAAGAAGAGCTGATGGTCTGCTTCTCCCAAGCACTCGTAGATTTCACAAAGAACACCCGGCTTTACTGCAACTCAACTGAGAGTCTTGATGGCTCCGAGTCTAGTTCTCCTTTCGGGCCGAGTCTGAGTGCCCTGCCCGCCATTGTCACGTTCGACGTGGTCGACATGGAGAATGAGGGTGAATGTGAGCAGCAAACCGAGCTTGTTGAGGAGGAGGAAGAGTTAGCGTCTCCTTACGAACCCTTCGAGGAAGATGGCTGTTACCTTCAGCAAGACGCCTTTGCTGAGTGTGACCAGCATACTATTGATGCCTACGAACAAAGTCTCTTGCTCAGTAACGCTTGGGGCATTGCTAGCCTTCCTCGCCACCTCAGTTTGGGTCGACCTTGTCCTCCTGTCCCCGCCCCATTAGCGCTAAACCGTCGCAGTCGCTCCCTTGACACGGACAGTCTGGAGTTTCAGACAAGTGAGCTTTACACCAACTGTAACTCTGTGTTTTCACAGCGTAGGACTGCTGATTGTAGTGATACGGCATTACCGCGACAGCCCTGCGGGGTCACTGTTGATAGTTGGAGGCGGGGCTATGGGCGGAGTTTTGAGTCCTCCAACTCTTCTCAGCAAGAAGCTAAGTTGCCACACGTGGGCCAGTCAACTGTAAGACCTTCACATCTCCCCCTAAAGAACAACTGCCGTAATCGTAACCTCCCTGGATCCGCTAGAGCCGGTGGTGACGGGGAGATTTTGTTTGGGGGAGGCGATGCGCTTTACCCCTGCAGTTACCCCCCTACAGGTATGCAGTGGAAGAATCGACCTGTCGGGGTCACTCAAGGTGTGCCCCACCTTTGCGCTGAGCAATCGGCAGACCATCGAGAAATTCCCATAAAGAACCGGAGGAGGGAACTTGAGGGTGGCTTCACCCCTGCACCACCCAAATTATAAACAATCTCTCCCACTCCAAGTAAAACAATAATACAAATAGACAAGTCTCGTCACCAAAGACGATGCTGGATGTTTACTGGCAGTCTTGAATTGTATCCCACTCACACACACTAGTTGCTGTTACTGCCGGATAAGCTATTGTATTCTTTTGTGATGTACTGTGTAGTTTTTGGGCTATGTTTTAGTTTCTGTGAGTTTAAGAAGACGTGTATTTGTACCTGTATTTGTTACAGCATTACTCAGCAGGTGCTGTCTATATATAGATGCCATATTGCTTTGCATTTATGTAGCCAGGTATTGCTATTGAAATTGATCCATTTGGTTTGGTTTTGGATATGTTTTAGGTATATTTGCAAAAAGATGACAGCCTATAAATGACTTATTTTAGCATAAGAATGGAAACCTTCATTAGCACATTGAAACCAATATCATCTTAGAACTTTGTTCAAGTATCAAACTCAGTTTGAACAAATACTTTTTAAAGGGGTCCTATTATGCTCTTTTACAAAGTCTTGATTTTGTTTTGGGGGTGTACTAGAACAGGCTCTCATACTAGGTTGTTTGAAAAACATTTGATTATTTTTCACATATTTTACATTATTACAACACCTCTCTCCCCAGTCTGACATGAACGGCTCGTATAGTTCCTGTATCAAATGAAGGCCCGCCTTCTGAAATACGAAATGTGCTGTGATTGGTTAGCTGGGCCAGTGTGTGTTGTGATTGGCAGCACTCAGCGCCTGGTCGGGAAATGTCATGCCCCTTACCATAGCCGCCTGCGAGCTTCAGTGTAAATATTGCGTCAAAATCAAATAAATTTGAGCGTGATTTAAACCCGGATGATTGTAACCACTCTTAAGTTCGTCTGCCTTGGGAAAGCTAGCGTGTCTCCGACATAGTGATAACACTCGTTGCCTTCTCTAGTGCAGCTCAACCAGGTCTCGTCCCATTCGTCGATATTTGTGATATCACAAATCCCGGAAAATATGCGTTGTAGTCCAAACGAGTCGTTCATTGTAATTTTGTAAAAGTGATTTCTGTTAAATAAAATATCTCCTTTTGAAGTGGACTTTGA